GAGGCTTTTGGTGCGACAACGAATTCTGAATTACTCAAGTATGTTAACTGAGGCCTGGGTTATGACCCAATTCTCTATCAAACCATTAAAAAATAATTTCTCTAGTATTTCTGCTTAAAGTATAACCAGCTTTGTCTAACTTTCTTAGATCGTGGTTCTTTACAAATTGGTTCCAATAAAAGGGAAAAAGTTTGGTCACATGACCACAAAATTTACATAAAATGTACATAGTAATTCATATTAATAGTAGGTGCTCAATTTAAGTCTTTGCTGAACGTTTTTAACCTCGATTTATTTCCTTTCCTGAAGTATTTCAATGGACGTTGATAAGAATGGTTGGCTAAAGTTTTGTGTTAAAGAGATATTTTACAAAACAGGTCACGTGACCTGTCAAAATATCCTTTATGCCCATTTTTCTCCTTTCGTAAACATTTTGGTCGACCATTCCAAACGTGAATGTCTGTATCTTTGTCGCTTCTTTCAAGCAAGCTAAAGAAATCTCACAAATACTCTAAAACCATCACCTAGTTTTTAATTTAGCATTTTCCTTATTTTAAGGTCACGTGACCACCTTTTATGCAAACTTATCCATCCAAAAAGTTAAGCACCCGAAATAAGGATAACTGTTGCAATCTCATTCGTTTATATCTAAAAACGAAGAAGCTACAGTGAAAAGTAATTTTTCCCCTTTTAAACAAAATCCCAGGCCTTAACATGCTTGAGTAGGTCTATACACTACGGATCTCACCGAACTGTAGCGACACGTCAAAAATTTGTCTCGCTACCACACCCTAATTCGTCTACTGTCACGCCTACCTTTGTTTCATGTAATGGCAATGCGCTAGTTCCCAGACAGTGACAGTTATCGAAGTGGATAATAGGCAAACGACAATGTGACATTTGTATAAGCTAGGAATATCTGTTTGAGATTCCTTGAATCGAAGGCACGTTATACAAGAAAGTATTCAATTGCATAAACTATAGGTATGAAAGTTTAAAAGTGTCGAAAATGGGGAAATATGTAAAAATCGCCATACGTTTAGAAGAAAATGGGTCTCTTTTTGTCTATTATCTTGGATGACCGAGTTGAGGACTAGGGACAAGCTTGATAAGTATTTATTTGAAAACTAACCATGATTTCGATGTTTGAAATATAATCATTAATGGAAATGATAATAGCAAACAGTACTAGCTATTTGGAATCAAAAATATGAATTTTAAAAAGAATATCAATCAAAAACCACATTTTAAAGATATTGACCACAGGGAGCCCATAACTGACTTTTTTCAGAAAATTAAAGTCTAATTAATATGGAATCCTGAAGAGATTAAAATGGGCACCGGTCCTAATATTGATTACTATACTCTAATCTACATTTATGCGAATTTTGGTGCTTTTGTCCGCTATGTATAGGTCTAACCATTTAGCCACCTGGGCCGGGTTGTTCAAAGCTGGATTAGCGCTAATCCAGGATTAACTCTATAGGTCTTATTAAGACTTAACCCAGGATTAGCACTAATCGGGCTTTGAACAACTGGGCCCTGACTAATAGTGCAATGTTTAATGTTCTGAATCTGTATTATGAGTAAAGTCATAGTTAATTAACTATGTTAAAGTTTACAACGGTTTTTGTGTGGGAATACATACCTTACCATATTATGCAATTTCATATGTCTGATTTTTGAAAATATAACGCAAAAATCTTTTTCTGTATGATAATGAAGAAACATCATTGAACGAAATCATACTATAAGGAAACGAAATTCCGCAACTAACATTACTTGCATAACATTTTCCTAATAGTAGAGAGTTTTAGATTGACTTTTTTTCTTCCCGCAAACGGCAAACGTGACTCCACGTTTTCATCGTTTTCCTGTATTTTATTTTACCTTTTACAAACCTTCTCGCCAAAGACAAGTCATTCTTTTGTTTTTCTACTACTTGGACTTTTTTGCGATTCTTTTTAAGATATTTAAAATATTTTTTAATGGTCAGCTGACGTTTCACGTTTGCCGTGAACGTAAATCTAAAACTCTCTAGTACCAATAGAATTACGTCAATATCCGCCATACCCTGCGAGCAGAGTCTCCTTTTAACTCCTATACGGGCGAGAGAAGGAAAGGAGACTCTGCAGAAATCGTGTATTTCTTTTGTAGTGCCGTTATCCAAGAATCTGGATAATGAGATGCATAATTTCAGGTTTCATACTGGTTTAAACTGGTTTTGATGCGCGAGTCTGTATTA